GTCAGGAAGGGCCACAGTTTGCATGCGGACCACTAGCTTCTCCCAGAAGAGGTCAAAGATCTGGTTCATTCTGGCAATTATGTCCATCTCCTTACTGTCAAAGGCGCACACGGCATCTGCCATTTTGTGTGCCACACAGGGTAGGTTTCTCCTTGTTGCTGCGCGCCCTCAGCGTTGTACAGGGACCTCCAGGGTGCACACTAGGATCACCCAAACCGGTCCGGGGGGGTGGGGAGGAAAGGAACAGAGCACCATCCAGCACTTAAAGTAGCTCAGGTTGCTTCAGGCAGGAGATCAGCTTCTCCCCCGGTGCTCACCAGGCCGCAGTGTGCTTGGAGCCATTTTCAAGATAGTGTCCACAGAAGAATCTTCTCTGCCGCTTGTAGTTAGTTCGGGCTGAGATTAGGACAGCTCCCTTAATGAGTGAGATTGTTTGAGGGTCCAATAATAACCCCCCAAAAATCACGTTTTTGCTTATAATTGCACAGAGCTCATGTAGGACACACCTTGCAGGCATGGCAGTTAGGCTCCGGTATGCAAACTTTTAAGTACAACTGTATGTCAACTGCATAAAGCATAACAAACAATAATCCTTTTTCAAAATCAATTCTCCAGATGGTGTTGACCTTCCATTTAAATAAATTGTAAAGAAAAGGTTAGCTAAAATATAGATTTCAATTTGAAACACTGCACATCCAATCTCCTACAGCCAATGACAACTTCAATATACTTAAGTGGTCATGGTGGTTGGAGTAACTTTTTAATTATGTTGCCAAAGCTGGAGCCACTGGTAGCAGAAGGGATAACTTCTGTGTGTAAAGTGTTTCATAGAGAAATATTGCATATACAAACATCAGGCACCATGACCACTTCAAATCAGTGAAGCTGTCACGATGCTTGGAATAACTCTTTCATTTGTTTGATTAATTTGATGCAAATGCAATAGTGCAATAATAATGCAATATCTGGAGTGCCAAAGCTTACCTACCCAGAGGAGTGCTCTAAGATTACATAGCGGATAGCTCGCTTTCTGACCACGCTTTAGTGTCAAGATAACTGGTAGTGATAGTGTAATATTGTGGAGGAGAAAATAGTTTGAACAGTAAGCAAAATGGCTTGACTTTATCTTTTGTTGGCCTAGGCTAAATACATAGATTAAAAAACAGCACACATTGAGAAAATACAGTTTTACATTTTACATAGCTACTTAAAATCACAAATCTTAGCAAACAAATGTGGGGATTCAGTTTCACCATATGGCCATATTGTGTTAAGCTCACCACTGTGTCACAGTACTCCAGTATCTGTGGATCATACACTGATTTTAACATGGGAGATTAACATGATAATTATAATTCTTAAACTGCTTCCAGAGACTCTCCTCAATTAATGCTTTCCTGTGGTCTCCTCCAAAGTGGTAGCTATAGTGGTGGAATAAGGTGCTTAACCCAAACGAAATCTGGTCTGGATTCCGAATAAATACAGGAAAAGGGGAATTGAGAGAACATGCATTTCTAAGTAGTGGTGCTTCCACAAAGACCAAAATATATATACAAAATACTGATTAAGGAACAAAATCCACAGATAGGTGATTTTAGGTAGCTTTGTAAACTTTAAAACTGCATTTTTTGTGTGTGTGCTGTTTCTCAATCTGTATTTTGTATATATTTTGGTCTTTACAGCAGCACCACGACTGAGAAAAGTATGTTCCAGGTGTGCCCCCACTCAATTATTATTTTTCTTGGCATAGACTGTGACACTTGAGCCCATACACAGATGAGTTACCTTGGTTAGACAACTTAGCATGGAACACAACAATAAATATATCTATATGACCTCTTTAATAATGGAGTAGATGGTACAGCAGGGCAGAATCTCTTTATAATATTTGAACATGGCTTGGTAATAAATAGCTGCTTAGCTGAGTCAGCCTGGACACCTACATGGTACTTAATAAGATAAAAGGCCATGAGGGGGTGGACTTGAGTAGAATGGAAGTTTGGAGAAGAATGGGTGAAAGTTGCTTATGTCAGTAGAACAATAGAGGCAGCAGACAGGCATTGGTAAATGGCAGAGCTTAGCAGAGAGATAGGGAGATTTAACATGGAGAAACAATTAGCACAAAGCCTATGAGTGAGAAAAGAGTCTTTGGAGTTAGTAATTATGCCAATAAAGCAACAATGGAGTTTATCATGAGTTAAGCACTTGGAAATAAAGTTATGATTGTGGCACGTGATCTGGGGTCTGATAGCAGAGTTCAAACAAGGCACAGGGATAATCCGAAAGAGTAGTTAAGTCACGAACTCTGAGGTCGGGAAGCCAGGAGGGCGAAAAGGGAGCATGAGTTTATGTCTAAAGCCAATGATGAATTGGCCTATCCCATAGGAAATGAGGATGCATAGCAATGAAACTTCAAAGAAACAAACAGCAAGGCAGGACTCAATAATCAAGTAATGAGACAAGAAATGTGATAACATGGACCTGAGCCAATTCATGACATTGCTGAGAAATTAACCCGAGGTGAAGTTAACCCTTCACTGAAACATTCTGACACCTATCTCAAGTGTAAGATACACACCAAGCTGACCCGATACCTCAAAAAATGTTCCAGTACTGCTGAATGCTGCTGGAGAATTGAATCAATGCATCTCTATGAAGAAAGTTCAGTGTCTCCATGCAGAGGATGGAGACACTGAATATCAGCACTGTACACTCTGCAGCACTGTCCCAGGAAGCACCTCTAGCAGCCATCAGGAGTGACCAGTGGAGGTATCCCTAGGCTGTAATGTAAACACTGCATTTTCTCTGAAAACACAGTGTTTACTGCAAAAAGTTTGAAGGGGATGATTATACTCACCAGAACAAATAAGCTTTATGCACCCTCAGTAATTTCCCCACATTGTGCTATTCAATTAACTCAAAATATAGTGCATTAAAGGGGCACTATAAGAATTTATGTAATCGGAGGTGTTATTTCTTTCCATTATTACAGGGGACTTGTGACTTACTATGAAATGGTCTTAAAACCAGATCTGTGGCACTTCACTCAGGAATCGAGCCCTGGTTAGTATCCCCTAGCAGCAACACCCCTGCACAGACCAGAGCTTTCACTAGTAGTACCAACAAGTATATAATGCCTACTATTCAAATATGTCTATTTCCTATTGCTATCATGCTTTCCCATCATCGCTTCCATTGTTGTTCCCATTACTCTTCATTGTTTTTCCAATTTCTTGTCATTTTTCATACCCGCCCCCCCCTTCTCATAACACTTTTCTTAAATTAAAACAAAATATATAAAAATAATATTTATCCACTCTCCCAGTTGCCTTCCTTACCCAGTGATTATTGTACCTCTGGCTGCAGGGAAATCTTTTACTGCTCTCACTTCCAAATGCCAGAAAGTCTAGGATATGAAGTCACTTATATATATAAAAAATTATGTCACTTAAAAAAAAAAAAAAAAAATACGCAAAGTTCCATTTTAGCTGCTATGCTTATTTATCCAAAATCCATCTCAAATAATGTCATATATATCAAACCTGATTCATTACGCTGAAAAAGAACAATGTCAGTATGGAATGCAGAGCTATTGTGCTCACTTGCAGCATATAACGCAGGAAAAAAGTAAGGAGAGATCCCCAACAAGACCACTGTGGTCACAGCACCCCAATGGCTTGGGAAGAAAGGCACAACTGCCCCCTGACATGCACTACTAGCTTAATGCCCTGTAGACCAATGCATACCTCCCAATATTCAGATGGGCAAAGGAGGGCACTTTTAGGAGTGTGAGAATGGGTGGGGTTTTGAAATATATGTAGGTGACTTACTAACAACAATTTATTAATGAAAATGTAATTTAAAACCTGAACGTTGTATTTTATTTGCACATTCCAAATTCTAAGCACATTTATTGTAGTTTAAAGACACATTACTGTGCGTATTATTGCTGTGGTGCTCTGTTAAAAACTCGTTAAAAGCTCCTAGAAAAGAGGGACATTGGGAAAGAAAATTGAACTGTTGGATTTGCGCCCTTCTAAATAGGGACACTTGGTTATTATTATTATTTTATTATTTATATAGTGCCATCAGATTCCGTAGCGCTGTACAACGGGTGGACTAACATACATGTAATTGTAATCAGACAACTGGACATACTGGAACAGAGGAGTGGAGGGCCCTGCTCCATGAGCTTACATTCTAGAGTTGGTATATTACTTAACTCCTATAAAGTAAAGTTCAAACCTGTCAAAAAACAGTAATTTGGTGTACTATCTACCTGAATAGCATCATCCACATTGGTAACTAAATTACATTTTAGGAACATCTTACTTTTCAAGCTTGTGTAATAATATTTAGAGTTTTATTTTGTAACCTTTTTTTTTTAATAGATTCCTTATGTTCTCCAGGTCGAATTATTTCCATTCTTTAGCCCTGTGACACAAGGTTTCAGGTACTAAGAGGGTGAAATGCTTTGCAGCCATAGCAACAAGAAAAGCTTCTTAAAGCTGTCCCTGTGGTTTATTTATTAAACCCCAGGCTCTTCTTCTGATTTTCTTTCAGTTCGCTCTCTAGATCACACACACTCCTGTCTAGACAGAAAGACACCTTTAACCCTTTTTTGGGGGTGAAATAGTTAAGCGAGCAGGATGTTTGCTTCCAGTATCACAGCCACAAGCAAGTATTTGCAGTTCAGCCACCCTGAACCTTCCCCTCTGTCCAAATACACTCTCCGGCTAAATAAAGCTCAGATATGGCTGTTATGATGGCTTACAGCCCAAACCTAAAGCGAACCTTGAGCGACCAGGGAGAAAGACAAACAACACAAAACACAATGCTATCATTTCTGTAAAGAAAATAAGACACAAAACAAAATCTTATTAGTTGCTGTGAAGAAAATAGACTGAGAAGGGTTGACTGTATCTCCTCCTCCTCCTCCTCCCAATCTCCTCCTCACTTTGTGATCACAGCCTCTCCATTTCCATCTTTGAAAATCATTCCGTGGGGCTGGGACAGAGATAAAAAAAAAAACATTACCCAAACCCGTATTTGTTTCTGTGCAGTTCCTCTTGGCGTTTCTCTCCTCTCTCCTGATCCCTTTGTTTTTCCTTCTCTTTGCTCTGATACCCTTTTCTCCCCCATTGTACCTGAGCAGTGGGTTCTAGGACAGCAAGATCCACCCCTCCCTCCCTGTCATCTGTGTGGGATGTCATAAGGAAGCAGGGATCTCCCTGTGTTCCATCTGATTTACCTGGATACAGTTGCTTAAATATCCTCCTTTTTGGGGGGATTGACTTCTGCAGATGAAAAAGGAGAGAAACTAAACAAGGCAGCGCGGTGAACGCTGGGAATTTTATATTGTCTATTTTTTTGTATTATTATTTTTTTAATTATCCAATTTCTGGAAAACTCTCTGGCTTTTCAGAGGATTTATTGATGCTGGTTGGAGAAGACATGATCCCTGTTTTGATGTCCTAGGACGGGGGAAGCTATAAGGCAAAGATGAAGAGTTTGCAGTGTGCTGGTCTCTTATTGCTCTCTGTTGTACTGGAGGTAAGCACCCCCAATTATCACAAAGACATTGGTTTCTATGTAACATATACATTAGATACATACATTACCTCCTGCAGCCTTCCTTGGGGTAGCTTGTCACACCCCTAAACAGCTATATGTAGGTGTCAAACAGACATTAAGGGACAATGATCTTTAGTATAGTCTTTGTTTTGTGATAGAGGCATGGAGTTTGACCATTTGAGTGCCAGAGGTGTACCTAGTGTGTTGCTTTGCAATTCATTAAGTGCACCTATGGCTATCAAAGGGTTAAAGCACTACTGTGAATTATTGAGAACATGTTCCATTCTGCTCTGCCATTTCTTTAGACAGAAACCTACCCACCCTTCTTTGCTAAGACAAATTATATATTCTGCAGTCTATATATGGTTACAAATGATCCACTCCTAATATAGTAGCATTGTTGAGGCTAAGTCTTATTTCTGTGTCATACTAATACTTTTTAAAAACAGAATAATTGGGCACATTGTTTACATATTGCTAATGAAACACAGGTTTCGTTTTGGGTTTTGGAGTGCTGTGCAAATGGAGTTATATAAAAAAAACAAAACACAGTAAACATTACTGGAACTACAAATGCAAAAACCTTGCTCATAAGAGCTTACACTCTGTAAGGCAAAGGTATTGGTCATTGTAGATGTCAGGGGATTGCAGTTTCCAAGATTTAACATGAATTTTAGAGGCGGTACCCTTTTTTTGTCTGCAGTTACTGGCAGCACAAACATGGTTGGCAGTGGGAAAATGGCAGAAAATATTCAACAATTAATCATTTCCTACTTAGATGGCCCAGGAATAAAGATGGTCACAGATTACTCCGGAGCTGGGGGTTAACCAAAATAAAGATTCTAAGCTCTTGTAGAACTACACAGCCCTTGATACTTTGCTAGCTTTTTGGCACTTAAAGCATCATGAGAGTTGTAGTCCTACATGCTGGGTGTCCCTGCCACATCTGCATTAGAGAATATATATATTTTGTATACAAATAAATCTTTTTTTATGCATGAGTTGGATTCTGTCAACTGAGATTAACTTTAAGATAGCTTTTTATTTGACACAATTTTATTACAGTCTATGAGAATATTGCTGATAAATTACAAGAGACAAATGTATATTTATTAATTGAATCCAGACCCCTAACTTACTGTACTAACTAATTCATCATTGTGTATTGTGGACACAGAAAAGGCATGCTTGTGCCTGTGTGGTAAAAACAATATATAGTGTTAAAAATCATTAATTGCAATTACTTAGCCCCCTATTGATCCCTTGTTCGTCACTTAAATGAGCAGATTTGATGCAGAATTTCTTTACATATTGTGGCTCAGATCCAGTATAAAGGCTTTCTGTTATAAACTAGCCATGGCACCAAATGTGCATTTTAATGCAATCTGTGTGGGGGATCAGTTTCTACCTGTAAGAATCCCTAAGCAAAAAATAGTACTATTGTAATTTTGGTTTTTTTTTGTATTTTTATTTTTTTTTAGTACGATAAATGTTTTTCTTAAAAGTATGACAATATTTTTTAAAGTTTGAAAAGTTTGTCTTTGTAATTATGACTACAGAGAGAGTCATGCAGTCTAGTCTACAAACTTGGTGACAGAACAATCAAAATACTGTCAGTCTCTATACGTATATCTTTTTACATTGTACATTATGTTATTAGATTGCAGTCAGGAAATTATATATGTTTTCTTTTATTTTACCAACGGCTCCAGTTCTTGTTTTATTAACATAGTGTCACAGTATTGCTGCATCAGTTAACATTTGCCACATCTAGGTGTGACAGGGTAATAGAAGCCAATTTAAAACGTCAGGCCTTTTGAGACTGTACCAAACAGTCTGTGTTCCATTGTTCTCCTGAATTCAGATTTAATTTCAGTGCCTGCGAACCAGGCACAGTGTCAATTGTCTAAGCCAGCTTTTTTATTTATTAATTTATTTATTTTTTATTTTGTTTGTATGGGCTTTCCCCCATATCAGTTGTTTTTGTTTGCTTGTATTTTAAAATTGAACAGTAATTTTACTCATATATAGTTAATTCAATATTTATCCCAACTGCACCGTCATGGTCTATACGAATGATTGCCAAATCTTGCTATACTGGCATATTGGTTTTCAGAATATTGCTGTACAGTGTAACTCTGTGCTCTGGTTTAGAGCTTTCAATATATTCTGACACGTTGCACATTCATATACTTTTCCCATACTGAAAGCTTGTTTGCATCACGGATCAATATGTTGTGTTAGTAATAAGGTCAGAAATGAGGTCGTGAAGTGAAATAGTAACGCATATCAGCAGTTGTGAATCTCCATGGCACTGACCCACTTTGCTGTTATCAGTTGAATTTGCATCTCTGACCTTTATTAGATTATAAGTATGCAGGCTGTTCCTGTGTATGCATCCACATACCAGGTTTTCTGTATAACTTCCTTGAAATCTTTAAAATGGTAAAATACATATTGCGATGTTAAAATAGTGTTCAGGATCTATAAAGCAAAAAAGGGACGCAAAGGTAAACTTAAAGGGACAGTATAGTCACTAGAATAACTACAGCTTATTGTAGTTGTTCTTTGCAGTGTAACCAGCCACTTCAGGCTTTCTGTTGTAAACAATGCCTTTTCAGAAAAAAGACAGTGTTTACATTGCAGCATAGGAACACCACTAGTGGCCACTCCTTAGACGACCACTAGAGGTGCTTCCTGGGTCAGTGCAGCACTGACATTCAGCATCTCCACCCTTTGCATGGAGGTGCTGAACTTTCCCTATAGAGATGCATTGATTCAATGCATCTCTATGAGGAGGTACTGATTGGCCAGGGCTGTATTTGGCTCCACCCACCGGCCCGTTTCCTTGGCCGATATCATCAGAACTGAAAATCTTAGCCAATCCAATGCTTTTCCTATGGGAAAGCATTGTGATTGGTTGAGATCCTCACTTCTGATGATGCCAGCCAAGGTGGCAGATCGGGGGCAGGACCAGCGCCTGCGGACCTGCGATGCACTTGAAATAAGGTAAGATTTTGCTATATTTAGGGGGAGCAAGAGAGTTCCAGGGTGGCTAAATGATGATTTTAACACTATATAGTTAGGAATATATGTTTGTGTTCCTTACCGTATAGTGTTTCTTTAATCAATTTTCCTGGCTTGACCAGTTTCCAGACCTGTCTGTCACCTGAATTTGTAACCCCAGGCCATGACATTGCCATGTCAGTATACTCAAAACCTGTACTGCATGGTATGATACAACATTGTCAGAGCATTCCCGAAAATTTAATTTGATGAGAATTCAAAATAAAATCATAGTGAATTTTAGGTTTTAGGCCAATGTAGACAAACCAAAATCATAAACAATGGTAGCAGCAAAAATGTGCACTCTTGTTTATTTAGTAAATGCATTGCCAAACTAGTTTATTTGAAAAAAATCAACTCCGCTATTGTCACAGACTGACAATTTTCTTCTTAATTTTGCAATTAGTTTTTCAGTTCACCAAAATTTACTGTTTAATGCATACATCCTTAAGTCATTATTGAAGGAACAATATAGTGTAAGAAATACAAACATGTATTCCTGACACTTTAGTGCTGGTTGGTGTAGCTGTTGAAGTCCCCGGACCCTGCTGTACAGTGAAAAGATACTCACTACGACTGGTATGGATGATCTCAGCAACCTATTTCATTACCCCTACTTGGACCCATTGTATCACTATACCTCACTCCCTCTAGCATGTAAACTTATAGAGCAGAGCCCTCAATCCCTCTGTTCCTGTGCGTCCATTTGTCTGGTTACAATTACGTGTCTGTTAGTCCACCAATTGTACAGCGCTACGGAATTTGCTGGCGCTATATAAATAATAAAATAATAATAATAATCTAAGCCAATCCACTGTTTTCCCATAGGAAAGCATTGAGAGGGTATTGTGCATGGACGGCAAAACGCCTGGGCTGGAAAGAGAGGAATTACTGTATCTCCTAAACTAGCAAGTTCACTTTGCCTAATCTAGGGTTTATCAGATAAATCACCTCACATAAATAGTGTATCACTCCTACATTTACAATTAGGAATCTATCTATTATCCTGGCAGTGGGCCACATTTACACACACAATCTGGCCAATTACACTACGGCTATTTACTGGTCTATAATCAGTAGGTACTGCACTTGTTCTTTTCGGGAATCCAAGACAACACCAATTTCAGTTTCCAAGCAATGTGCGAATCCCTGCTGGCAATGTCAGGTTTACTTGTACTAAAAGTGGCACAGTGGGTGTTCTTACTGAATATCACATCTGGTGATGTTTGTGTGATGTAATGCTGTTGTTATGCTGGAGTCGTCCCTTAGAAGCATACATATGTCATATTGTTTTCTGTGTGGGGAAAGTGCCACATCAAAAGTCATCATTGGCAGATTTGTGTCTTGCTCATTGGTTGGTGTAACCTATACATTCCTAAATTAGGTGAAATGTAGTAAATTACGTTAAATGAACCTACAGAAATATTTGGATAGGAAATATTTAGCATTAGGGACAAATTCCTGGCTTACCAGAATAATCAGTGAATAACAGGCATTGTAAAATAAAATTATTGTAGTGTTATTATTCTTGCTACTTTGAAATGTGTTTCATGCAGTAAAAAAGGGTCATAAATCAAACATGAAGTGTCCCTTTAATGATTAATTTTCTAAACACCATGGAGATTATTGTTATTTATTCACTAAACAAGGTATTGTGGAGAATTGACACGAGAATTGCTCACAAAGGAATAAGTTCTCCAACACAGATTTTCTACCATATCAGCTATTTTGGCTTACAATTATTAAAGGGACACTATAGTCACCAGAACAACTACAGTTTATTGTCTTTGTTCTGGTGAGTATAATCATTCCC